CCCAACAACTGGTGAAAAACAATTGGGTAACAGTGTGAGAAGCTATCAGTGGCTTTTGGCTAAGTACTCAAAATTTCTCCAGTCACTTGGGTCCTTAGTCATTTGAGGTAAAAGGGTTTCATCCCCTCTGAATTTCACCCTTTTACCTCAAGTGATTGGAAAAATTAAGAAATGGTCCACCAAAGGACTTATTTTTGAAAAAAGCCAAGGGAAAAGCAGTTATCTCAGGGAAAGAAAAATAGTAATTAAAAAAATGCTGCAAGGTTTCAAACCAGCAGCTTTGTTAAAGTTTTGAAGAATTTTGTGACAAGGAGCAAAGAACAAATGAAAAGAAATCAAGTTCTAGGACATTATTTGAAGCGATTAAAGATCAAGTTCATTAAAAGTAAAAGGAAGGAATATAAAGTTGGTTTATTTGGACAAGGTTAAAATAGATACGTTGTTATCTCTGGCAATGCTAAATGGGCTTTTGCTGATCAGGACTAAGGCTTAAAGGATTTGTTTATATTTTTTTCATATAATTTTTATTAAAATTATAAATTTAACATGAACTAGTATAAAGTAAAGAAAAGAAAAAAGAAAACAAAGAAAAAGCCAAAAGTGCAAAAAGAAGGAATGAAAAGAAATAGAAAGAAGTAGCTTCTGATTTTCTTTATAGCAGTTATAAATATAAATACAAAATTACCTCTTACTCTATCGTTACAGAAAAAACCCTCTCTTTTGTCTATTATCTATTTTTTCTAATCACCAAAACCATAAATCATAGTTCATTTTTCTCTGTTTCATGCAAAAAGTGTATAAGGGGTTTCCAGTCCACAATAAACATAGATACTGTCTTTTCTGTAATCAAAAAGTCAGCTTCGCCACTCTATAAGTTCCATCATCTTCACCAACTATCCGCCATTGGGTTAATGCCAAATCTTTTCATGTAATACTTCTGTGCATATAATACTCTTGCTGGAGTTATCATATATAAAAACAAAGTTCCAGGACTTTTTTTCAGCTATTTGTCCATCAAGCCCAAAAGCTTCCGATTTCAATTGTATATTAATCTTTAAGATCCTCTGAATTAGTGTATACAGGATTTGTTTATAGATAAGACATGGGATATGGGAAGAAAAGATCACTGGCTGTATTTTAAGAGAAGAGTAATAAGTTACTAGAATTGTTTGTACTTGTGATAAAGGAGAAAGTCATTTCTTTATATAATTCTTTTTCTTTACTATATTCTTATTTTTTCTTTCTTTTCTATGTTTATTTTTTCTTTTCTGCTCTATTTTTTCTTTTTATTTAGTTTGTATTCATTTTTATATTTTTAATTGTAATGTTTAATAAAATTATTATATATATATAAAAGAGTTTCTTGAAAACACTGGGATAATTACCGTCAGTTTTGATGTGTCAAGAACAAATCTTACTTGACAAATCCTACTTCCTTTTTGGAACTGATAACTTGCTCAGTATGTTGTGGATGTGAAATAAACTTATATCTTGAATTCTCTATAATTCTATGTTTTTAGTAATGACTTGGGTGAAGAGCTTGAAGAAGGTTTATGAAATCGCAGAGGACACAAAACTGAATGGGATAGCTAATACTCTAAAGCAGGTGTCAGCAGACTTTTTCTGTAAAGGCCAGATCCTGTCCCCCTTCTGCTTCCGCAGACGTGGCTGGCAAGTCTGCAGGCCAAGGAGTGTGGTAGCCATTGGGGACTGGCATCTGCCAGCAAGGAGGCTGCTGATAGGCCACCACTTCCAGAACACCCCAGCGCTCACCCAGGAGCTTGGCTGACACTCGCACCTGGTAATGTGTCACCTGCCTGCCCATCAATTCTTAGCTCACAGGCTATACAAAAACAGGTGGCAGGCTGGGTTTGGTCCACAGACCATAGTTTGCCAACCCCTTCTCTGAAGACATGAAATCCAAAACGATCTTGATGGGTTAGTGACATAGGATGTCAATAACAAGATTAAATGGAACAGAAATGCAACATTCTTTATTTACAAAACAAAAATCAAATGTACAAATATAGAATAGGGCATATTTGGATTAGTAATAGCAACGTGAACAGGATTTTAGAATATTGTTGATGAGAAGTTGACTATTAATCAGCATTATCAATGTGACATGGCTTGATAAAAAGACAAATACATGTTTAAATGTAAATATACTTTCCAAATTATTGAAAGTAATAGTTCCCTTATATTCTATGTTAATCAGACCTCACCTTCAGTATTGTGTCCAATTCTGAGCACCACTCCTCAAAAAAGGTGAAAAAACAAAAACAGATTCAAGAAAGGGAAAAGAGGATGATTGGGGGACTGGAAAGTCTAAACAGGAGAGATTGATGACTTCAGTATGTGTAGCCTTGTCAAGGGTATGATTCCACTTTTGAAGTTGTTAAAGAGGTGTCACACAGAAACAGATCGTGACCTGTTTTCCAGCATACCATAGTACAAGATATGGAGTAATAGTCTTAAGACCACCTTGCCTCTGAAGATGCCAGCCACAGTTGCTGGCAAAATGTCAGGAAATCTGCGGTCTAAACCCTGAAGCTCAACACTGCCCAACAGATGCTAGCTGTGAAAGCCTACATCAGTACTAAGTTATAAAACAGCAGATTCTTGCTGGATGTTAGGAAAAACATTATTCAAAACAATAACAGCAATTCAAGAATGGAACTAATTTTCAAGGTAGATACTTAGCTCATTTGTATCCTGAAGAACAAGCTGGATAGCTACTAGTTATGATACTTTGAACTGGATTCCAAACACCAACAGTGAATTGGAGTCAGTGGCCTGATAACCCCTCTTCCATCTCTATCATTCTGTGATTCTATGAATGCCATAATTATAAATATTGGTCTTTTCAAAGATTAGAGTATGACAGAACATCAGGGCGAAGGAAAGGAAAAGTGACACATCTTGCCATTTCTCCTTTTTTTAAAAAAAGTTTTTTTCTCTTTGGAGAGACAGGAAAAAATGTACTTAGACCGCCACAATAGTTAGTCCAATTTTTATTCCTGATCAGGAATAAATTGGAGGCCTGGGAGAAATTTGATCTTTTGGATCCCAACTTCTTTCTTTGGTGAGCCCACTCACATTTCTTTTTGGAGCTTTCCAACATCAGAAAGGGGCAGTTGAAGAGACCAGTGGAAAGACAATAAGGGAAATCTGATGTTTGGATTTCTTCCTGCACTATCAGGGCTCATACTCAGAAACAAAGCTTGAGAAATGTTATGATTCATGGAACACTAAGGCCATAGGATCGTGGCATTAGATGTCTCTATTATAAAAATATCAGTACCCTGTTAACACTCTCTCTAAAAAACAAGCACATACAAAACCCTGAATTATATTTCAAACTTTTAATAAAAAAGTGATATATAAGCATAACATACTGTATATACACTAAAATAATAGTTTAAGACTGCAAAGTAACTCCATAAATACAAGCATAAATACAAACAATGTTTACACCACATTTATTTACATTAGATATTTTCCATTCATGCCCTGTGAAACACTGACAATCTCCTAAACGATACTAAAAGTATTTTCAGAACACATTGGCAAACTGTTAATTTTGTCATCATCCATCCTGTTTAAATACCACAGAGTGATGTTCCTGACAAACATTTCTAATACCCACTAAAACAGGACAAGGAATTGATGCCTGACATTTGTTTCCCATCCTTAAAAATTCAATTTGAATCCAATTCATTTAAGCAGAATTATTAGTATTATTTTCAAAAGAGCAAAGTTAAGTCATATTAGCTAGAATTAAAATCCACTGTAGAGTAACAGCTGATTTAGGACAATTCAGACAACAGAGAAATATGCAAGCTTCGGAGATATTTAGATCTTTCACCTGGCAAGAAGGTTTGGAAGGGGGGGGGGGGGGGGGG